TACAGTATTAATTTATCTCTTTATCGAATATATGCTGTAATTAATAAAGGCTTAACTATTGTTAGGCCTAAGAAAAGTAGAATTATTTTGGTGTCTACGATCAGAATTTTTTTTGTATTATTCTAGAAATCCTGTATTTGATAATGTACTGTTGCAATAAAAATAGTAATTTGAACGCAAATGTTTTGCGGGTCTCTGCTAGTACAATATAATCCACCCTCTGTAGTTGTCATGACAATATTTTGCGACTTGATGTATAAAATACATACCATTTTTCACTGCATCATGAAGTAATATTTCGTTACTGTCAGTTACGGCACCAAGGTTACAATATGAAATTCTAATTCTGTATTAACGGTTGTTCTCTACGTTTGATTATATGTTGGTGTTGTTGTTTTTTTTCGTGTTTTTTCTTCTGGACATTGACACGTAAGTACGGTAAAATTGAATACTTGAAAGCTCATTATCATTGCCAAAGTAATGCTATTCATGTTAACTAATGTGACCGTTTACTTTGGTGTTTGTGTATTACCATCATCATAGAATACTTTGTTTACGTAATAGTCTTCGCCTACACTTACAACACCAATGGCAAAAGCGACTGATTAATCTCTGTTGTCACTTTATTAAATAGGAAAGGAAAACAACATTACATAAGAAAGGAAAACAACATTACATAGGAAAGGAAAACAACAGTGGAAAGTACCTTTATTCACATCATCTGAAATCCAAATCTTTCTATGTAAATTCCCAATGGTTGGTAGTTGTTGTACTTGATGACGGTAAATTCCCAATGGTTGGTAGTTGTTGTACTTCATGACTTGGGTAAATTTCCAATTGTTGGTTGGTTGTTGTACTTGATGACTTGGGATGAAAGTCGAAGTTCTTCATGTCTTTTTCTCTCTCTTATAAATTGATGGTTTATATATGTATATATTATTCAATTTAAATATGCTAGATATTTACTATATATTGTTCGTAGAAATAGCACTGAAATGATATTAAATTGAACCATATACAGCAATACTGAGAACATTTGAAAATATGTGGACTTGTAGACGTACGATTATATATATACATGTTACAGGACCGAAATATGTGGGTTATAAATTTTCAATGAAAAACCTGTTATTTTTATTTTTTGTTGCATAAGCATTTTTTACTTTCGATCTTAGTTTTTTTAATACTAGAATATACTCATATGAAACCTATTATACTATAGAGCTTCTTTGAATAAGTCTACTCTGCTAATAACAGCAGGTTCGAGAAGATAGGATTAACGCAGAGCAGCAATGAATTAATACCGTCTGAGTTTAGGTCTACGAATAACAAACATACTGGACACAGACTTTATTAAACCTAAATTGACAAAAAAACAATATATGTGTGTGTACTTGGGTGAGTCAGCTGCTTTTTCCACGACCATAAATTAAAGGGAAATGTAACCCTCGAGATTCAATCTAGAAATGTTGTTTTCCACTCGCGTCACCACGTGATTGGTCTCTCTCTCGACATTCATCGACAGATTTCATCCAATGAACTAGCGGAAGGGTATATGGCACTTTTCCAGGCCAAAAGGGTGAAACCAGATGTGACAGAGGCGAGATGATTCAAAGAAAACAATTTTTCTGAGTCATGTGTTTTGTGTCAAATTTGCATATATTCAGAAATAAATAATAAATTTAGAATCAACATTCAAGAAAGAAACCTATGGCATATTCCCATAGTACAATACTTAAGAAAATAGCCATGTTGTCACATATTATAACTTGCTTTGAACATCTTATGTAAATCTACATCTTATTTTTATTGCGAACCGTGGTGTCTGTCCGAGCGTTCGTCTGTACCATGTTTCAAAAGCTGCACACGCAGGCAAAACTCAACATTCCCTTTTGAAATGACAGGAGAACAGGCATGAATGATGTTGATGCCAAATTTTATTTCGTAAGCAGGATATTCTATTCTAAATTGTTCAGAATTAATCACATTATCATTCATATTCCAAAATGCGACGTAACTTAAATAATAAAAATGTAGATTTACCGTATGTTATTGTTGAGTGGCTCTTAGCATGAATGAAATGCTCAACAATTACTTTTCGCGGTGGGCGGTATAAGTAGCCCAGAGCTTTCGCTCTGAGTGAAACCAAGAGTGCAACATAATTAACCTTTTCAAAGTCTATAAAATAATTTAAATTGATAAATTAACTTAAACTTTTATTGTTACTGGGGACGGGTACTTTTGCTAGATTAACTTAAACTTTTCTCGTCACTGGGGACAGGTACTTTTGCTTGTTCCTTTATAATTTTCCAAGACTTTGCTTAAAAAACAGTGATATGAAAGGAACAATCAATTTTCT